GGCCCTTGCCCCCCCCCCCCCCCCCCCCCCCCCCCGCTAGCCCTTTTTCAGTCCTCTTCACTCTGGTTTCCAGGAGTGTCACTCCCCCAGTGCAGCACTAAGGGTCACAGGGACTCCATGTCATTAAACACATCAGATCTCTCCAGTCCTCATCTTACTTGGCCTCTCCAGCAGTATCTGACATTATGTCCACACAATCGGTTTCCAGCAAATTCTCCCTTTCTGCCTTCCCTGTCACTTTTTGGTCTCCTGTGCAGCTTCATCCACTTCTACCCAACTGATATCTGTTCTATTCAACAGTTCCTCAAGACCTGAACTTACACACTCTTCTCTTAACCAATGTTTAGTCATGAGGACAACTCCTCTACCATGCAGCTTCAATTAGTACCTCTGCAGAAATGACTCAAATTTACATCTCAGCCTGAACCTCTTCTCTGAGCTCCATATTAGTACTTACAAAGCCCTTCAACACTCCACATGCTCCAACAAAAGTCACTTTCCCTGAAGAAACCTAGTCCTTTTGGTTCTTCCTTTTGGTAATGAACAGAATCATCTCAGCTCACAGTCAGAAACCTAACACTCACCCTCTAATGTCCTCCCAGCTGTTAATTTTGCCTCCTACACCTATCAAGTCTAATCACCTTTCTCCAACTCCACCACCATCACAGTATTCAACACTTTCCTAGTGGCTCATGTGAATCACTCTCCAATAGCTCCCTCAGTTCCCTAAGCTTGCCTCACAGATATTTACTGTATCTCATGTACCTCTCTTTCTCAAGAAGTGTGAGTTGTTCTTTGCTCTTTCCAAACACCAGCTATTAGGGAATAGGCTAAAATGCAACCCAAAAGCAGGGAAATTAGGGAGAGAAGTACAGAGAGAAAGGCTGGAAGTCTGCCTTGCTGGTTAGACTAGTTCAGTGTTAGAAGGTGCAACTATTTGTGGAGAAGCAGTGAATGCTGTCTTACTCATCTGAGATATGCTACAACAAGTGATATGTTCTGAACCCTCTTTCTCCTGTGCAGACTTTCCACTCAGTCTGGCAATTATGAAACTGTGCTAAAATTGTGATGCTAAAGGATCAAAAGTCTTGTACATGTTCAGGTATCAGCTCTTTACACAGTAATCTCTTCTAGTATTACAAGTATAGAATGATATCTATTCTTTGTTTGAACTATACATAAATTACCATGAATGAGTCAAGCAACAGTTCCAACTCATATGTTATGGTTCTTAAAAATTCTGGTAGTTTCTCAGTCAATACACAAAGAAAAGACCATCTCTTTCAAAGAGCTGACAATTTAAGAAATTGAGTGTTTGGTTTTTATAGCCATTTTGGTTTCTTTCTTTCTGTAAGAAAGACATGATAGTTAAACCTTATCAATTTTAACATTTACAGCTGGTTAAAGCCTTTATTCAGTACTGCAAATGAGAACATTTATTGCTATCTCCATCGTGAACCATTAGAGCATCTAGTAAGAAAGATGTTAAAGTGAAGGAAAAAGAGCAACCTTTCCCACTTGCTCTATCTTACCCAGTTGTTCAAAGTCATCATCTCATTTCCTATAAACTACATTAAGTTTGTTTATATGCTTTTTCGTAGCTATTTTTTCCACAAGACTATAAATATTAGTAGGGCAAAGCAACCAATGGTTTTATATTCAGTGTCACTGGCCAGGGGCAGGCTAGTGCCTGACCCATTGCAGTGAGTCCTGGGCAACAGTCAGCAACAGTGCAGATTCCTGGGACTTACTCCATCATCTACTCTTTTAGGGGACGCTCTGGGATCTGCAATGTTAGTGCTTAGAGACGTACTGAAGTCTTAAAACCATTCAAAACTGTGAATGAGTCACACACTCACAGAAGTAACTACAGTCACCAAAGCACAATTACTGCAAGTTGCCTGAAATGTTCAAAGTACTAGAATAAAAGTCTGAAAGTAACCACTTTTGCTATGTAAGTAGAATGAGCTCTATCCAATATGAAATGAAATGGCTAACACTAAAAGCAGCTATAGAACATTTTAAATACCCAAATTATATAAATATGACATATAAACTCCTTAAAATAATAGGATTCAACTTATATACCAATTCCTAAGATGGTACCTGAATATAGTGTATATATTAACATGTTCCCACCAGTTTGAACTACTGGTGGTGCATGCATGACTGTCCCATTGGGTGGGACAAGACCCTGGATGGGACAGTCACACATGCATGGCCTCATAGTGAACGTGTTAACAGTTTAAATAAAATAATGAATGAAAACAGTTAATCCACCAAATTCACAAAGGTACCGAGATAAACTAAAATTGGGTCCAAATGAAAAATTTAAAATTAAGAGGGCTTTTTCTCCATTACCCACTGAACAAATACTAGGTACCTACTCTGTGCTAGCAGGTGTTGCACTAGATATCTGTTAACAGAATATTGAGAAAACAATGGACATAGTACCTTCTGTTACAGAACACTGAAACTAATGATAAATAACATGAAGCTGTCTTGAGAACTTATGTGGAGGAATCTTCCCTAGCTAGAAAACTAGGTGAGGTATCAAGGAGCCTTTTCTAAGGGATGACTGGGTTTAAAGCTACAGACTGAATGGGTATTAACCTAGAAGAGGGAAGGAAAGTTCCAGAAAGGGAAAATAATACTGTTCCCCGAAAATAAGACTGGGCCTTATATTAATTTCTTGCTCCAAAAGACAAAATAGGGCTTATTTTCAGAAGAAGTCTTATTTTTCTCACATACAAAGGTCAATGTTCTGAATTATGAAGATTCATATTAGACACAACCACATCCTTGTGCATGCTACTCATGTGCTGTGTCTGTACTGATCGCTCATCCAATAGTGAGTCTTGACTCATCTGTTTACATAGGCATTTACTTCTCATCCAAAGACACCTGCTTGGGTATTTACAACTACTTAATTGGAATTTATGCTATTGTCAATAATTTGTTATTGTCAATTTATGTTAATGTTAATAATATTAATGTCAATAATATTTATTGATATTTAATTACATATTATTTTACAATACATCTGTTCTGTGTTGCACTGGACATACTAAGTGTGTCCACCTGGTTGACAATCTTAACTGGGACTTGTTTTGGGGTAGGGCTTATGTTACGAGCATCTGGGAAAATGTTAAGGTTTACTTTCTGGTTAGGTCTTATTTTCAGGGAAATATGGTACCTAGAAGGAAGTAAGGCAAGGGAAACCTGGCACTTTAGGAAATGAAAAATGGTCTATGAGATGGAAGCATGAAAGAGTGACAGAAAACAATCCAGAGAAGCAAACAGGGAGTAACTGTTTACCACATGGGGGCAAAGATGTGTGTCCAGTTAAATACAACAAGCAAGCTGAAGGGTATTTTAAATAGGGATCTGACAGGATTAGATTGGCAGTTGATAAAGTCTGTCTTAGTAGGTTAAATTATTGCACACAAATCAGAGATGGAAAAACTAGAAGCAAATGCCAGACATGACAAACTGGAAGTCACTGCATTCCTCTAAGTGGTTGTCACAGTGAAAGAATAAAAAAATGAGATATTTTAGGGGATCAAAATATCAGTATGGCTTTTCCCCTTTTTTCTTCTCATTCATGAGCCTAAATTCTCATCTTTCTTTTTCTCAAGTTGGGACTTAACTACAGTAGTTCCTTGCTTCTTGGATTGGTTCAATGTAAATCAATTAGTTAAACAGAAATAGGTAGAAAATTTTATTGTGATAAGAAGAGTTGGGAAAAAAATAAGGAAAGCAAACAGTTGCTGAATATTTACTTAAATGTAGTTATTCCTTCCATTTTACCACAACATGCTCGAATTTCTTGCTTGGGTTTAAGGCTCTGTGGTGGAGGAACGTTGCCATATGTGGGATATTTTTCCGAATATTCAGTTGTGGGCCAAAACACGCCAGAACTTTCATAAATCCTTGTGGTTCCATGTGGACAATGATGTCGCCTGTGCAAACAAACAGAGTGAAAGATTATTTTGTCTTAGAAAAAATTTTGTGAGGTTATTGCATTTTAACCAGAGAATGTCTAAACCTTAGAGTAGCTTTACTAGAAGACTGTTTCCTCTAGAGGGATGTTTACAAAAGAATGAACAAACTAGTGGATACTTGTGTGGCAGAAACAGGTGTTACTCTTATAATAAGTTAGGATTTCATTATGGTACACACCATGGAAAAGCTTGCACCTGAATTTCCTAGACTCCTGCCAGACAGGTTAAACATGAAACTTAGGCATCACCCATTCTGCACTGATATGACCCTTCACACTGAGCTACATGGGTGACAGGGTATGTGCCCTGTCTGCTGAATTGTGGGACAAGCACAGTGAGTTTGCAGTCAGGCAGTGTCCCGCTTTGCAAGGCGATTCCCTGACTTGGCAGAGACGAGTTACCTGGGGCTGACAGCTCTGTTGCAGTCTTCTGTTGTGGCAGAGGTAGTAGTTCCCTTCCCAGTCCGGTTCTATGGTGAGATCTTGGGGGTATTTTTTCTGGGAGCTTATTTTGAATAGCTTGGGCATTTTTTCTGGAGGCTTATTTTCAGTTCTTCCAAGTGAGTTTTATATAGATTCTTTATACTGTAAACATTGTTTTTGCATAAACTTACCAGTGTGTATTGTATTGTCCAAAACTAAGAACCCTGATACAGCACTGTGCCACATAAGGAACGACGTTGTGATGACTGACAAACCACATACATGATGATGTTCTCCTAAGATCACATTGCCCAGTGATGTCACAGTTGTCTTAATTTGCATAAGTACATTCTATGATGTTCACACAAGGACTAAATCACCTATTGATGCATTTTTCAAGATGTATTCTCATCCTTAAGTAACACAGGACTGAACAGCACATAAGCAGCTCCTGAAGGGAATGAAGGTAACCTTTGTGCATGGCTGCTATAAGATGCAAAGATTGTAAATAGTAAAAAACATGAGTTGGAGAACACCATGTACAGTGTGTGCTCTCCATTTTTTTAAAAATAAAAAGCAGTATGAGTAACACAAGTCTTAAGGAACATTTGTTATCTTTGATGGAAAAGATTACGAGGTATTTTCGTTATATACATTTCAATCTAACAAAAGAGATAAAACTTCAAAAACGATGCAACAAAAATCCCAAACGAATTCATAGTATTTGGAAATAGAACAGTTAATTGAAATGAACACAGTTAATGCTTACAATTATTTATGTTCTGATCAATTTTGCACGCTTGTGTCTGATGGTCTGAGCAAGTGATTTGCAGGTAGCAATATGCACTGGAATTACAATGGTGAACTCCTACCATCTTGTCCAGTGATACTCTGTATTATCTCTAACGTTTTATCAAAGAATTATTTTCTTACTCTCTTTAATGGTTTGAGCAATCTTTCATTCTTACATCTGGTAAGTCTGAGCAATGTACCTGAGGATAGTGACATGTAATGTAACAACCACTATTGATGCGTATTATTTTGTCTGTAGACCCTGTATCACTTTGAATATTCTTGCTCTGATTTATTTATGTTTGTGATACTGGTATGCTGCTACTGTTCTGTTTTTTTTTTTTTTTTTTGCTTGTTTGTTTCTCATTTACTATTCTCTTTAAAATAAAAAAAAAAAAAAGAAATATAACATCAGGTTCTTGGACCTGATACACTTGGAGACTCCAGCTGTGTGGTGAGGGCTAACAACACAAGCCAGCTGAAGCTGAAACTGGAGAAAATGCATGTGCTCTGTGGATGAGTCTGAACCAACGAGTGTGACTAAACCCAGTGAATACCCAGGAAGAAAATGAGAGAAGTGTTTCTTTGCTTGGGGCCGCCGGACAGTGTGAAGACTTGTAGTACAGGGGAGAGTGAAGAAGTGGTGTCACAGGTATTTAAGAAACCCTGAAGTCAGGAGAGTCAGGGATTCAGGAATATCAGCTGCAAACGGAGGCTGTGGGAAGCACTGAATTGGGTCAGTGCCTAACAGGGTCCAAGACTTGTGAGAGTTAGGAGCAGGGTACACAGGGTGTGCACACAGAGATTCTGAGAGAGGTACACTGAGTTACAAGAGCCAAGTCAAAGTTTGAGGATTTGTCATTGTTTTTATTTTCCATGAAAACAATACATTCAGATTGTAATGAACTAGTGTGAAAAATTATAAAGAACAGCAAAACTTTCTAGCCCGACACTTCCAATCCTCAGAAGAAACGTCTTTATTATTTCTGGTTTTTTTGTTTTCCTGGAGGCCACACCTGTAACACTCCTTTGAATACCTAGATTTATTGGCTTAAATTCCTAACTTTGCAAATATTAACACAAAGATAGAGACTTAGTTAATTTACATCACTCACATTCACTTCCTACTACCATGCGGCCATGCATTCAGTCATCAAGTATTTAATAAAGAACAACTAGCCAAAGCTGTTGAGGACAGTATTAAGAAAAGGTAAAATATTCTGTGTTCTCTTTAACTTTAAAGTCAGGTCGGGGGTAGGGTGGAGCCAATTACAAAATAAATTGGAAAAACACATAGTAATACATCCTATGTGCAATACATAAAAATGGAACAAAGTAGTGGGATAGAGTGTAAGGTGAGGCAGAGAGGTTGCCATTTTCCATAATATTTTATGTGAATAAATACCTGAATGACAGTGTCTTTCATTACACCTGAGCCTTACTTTTTTCTAACATCTCCAAACTTTTCTCCTCAACATGAAAGAACACCATCACAGTTTAATTCACATAAAAGACCATAGACACATGGTAGAAAGTAATATATTACAGATACAGGCATGATTGCTTGGACTTTATCCTTTGAGCTAGTTTCATAATGTGGAGAGAAAAAAAGAGATCCTTTGCCAGTAAACTGATAAAGTAGCAGAAGTAGATCAACATTTCCCTAAAGAGGTTATTTTTGTTTGTTTTTAAACCAGGACTTTTGCACTGAGCATCTTTCCTCAGCATATTTCTTATTTATTTATTCTGAGACATAGTCTCACTAAGTCACTAAATTGTTCAGGCTGGGCTCAAATTAGAAATTCTCATGTCTCAGTTTCCAAGAGCACTGGGATTATAGGCACAGCCTACGAGGCCTAGCTCTGTGTGGCTCTTTGAATGCAAGCACATAGTCAGAACTTTTATATTCCCTTGTAGGGATATTGCCAGGACAGGGAAGAAAAACTGTCTGAGGCCATCAACTTCTGTCATCTCTAAAACAATTCGTGGAAGAGATGAAATCAGGTGTCCCTAATAGGAGATGAAATACAGTTAGCTGTCTTTCAGTGTCACAAGAGGAAAATGATGGTGTTGGGACAAATGCAAAGAAGGTATCTCTCCTCCCGAACCCTATCAAGAGCGGGTAACAGATGAAGAGAAAGGGTTGTTGGAAGGGTGGGGAATCTGCTCCAATCCATGTCACCATCCCAGGAGACGGCCAGATCTCAAAGACTTGGCTGAGTGGGTCCCTGCAACCACAGCTTCTAGCTTGATCAGAGATTCTTGTACACAAGCACAAGTATTAGAGGCCCCGCTCTTGAAGCAAGCACATAAATTTCGGCAAGCGACTTTTCAGTGAATGCCATGAAGTGTTCAAACCCCAAGTAATTCCTCTTACATCAGCAATGACTCAGCTTCTTGAATCACTGAACTGCCTGGAGAAAGGGGAATGAAGATGGAATTGCCTGGGTTGGAAAGGAATTTAGATTGAATATAAATTAAGATTAGAAAAAAAAGATTTTTTGGGGGGCTGGGGATTTAGCTCAGCGGCAAAGCACCTGCCTGGCAAGCGCAAGGTCGTGAGTTCGGTTCCTGGTACCGGAGAAAAAAACCAAAACCAAAAAAAACAAAAAACAAAAAACAAATTTTTTTTCTTGTACACTAGAGTTTAAAAACTTATACCTGAAAAGTTAATCTTTGAACCTATATCTAATTACAAACTGTGTTTATTATAAATATGACAGAAAACCTGCTTTCCATCAGCGTGCAGATGTTTTTCCTTTGAAGATTACAAAACGAAGGGACTGGCACATTCACATGTACTTAGCAAGTAATCTAATCCATGCGTCAACAGTTAAGCTGAGGGAGGGGACATCTGTGTTTACAGGTGGTGGAAGGTTGTTAGGCAGCGCTCATGGACCAACTCGGGGTTTCATAGTGAGGACTGCTGCCTTTCCTGTTGGGCAAATCCTAAAGGAGCACCGTCTGGCCTGGAGGATGAAAAGCTGGAGATGGAAGAAAGTAAGATGGGTTGCAATCTAGTGACCTGTGCGCTGTTCTTTAATGTTATTTTTGTTATATGGTACACATACTCCCAGCAGAACCAGACCTCTCCCCCACTAACCAGCCTCCCACATCGGTCCCTTGCTCACACCTATTATTCACCTGGCCCAGATGGTATTTTAGTTTACATCCCTGGACAGGAATTTCAGGGACCACAAAGAAGTGCTCTGTCCGGTAGCCGCGGAGTGCGGAGAGATCCACCAATAGCGGGTCCGGATAGGCGGGGGCGTCGCTGTGCCCTCATACCTGCGGGTCCCGGGGCCACCCGAGCCTGCACCCGGCCGCGTCTTACCCACAGGTGCAGATCTGACACAGACACCGGCTCCTCATGCTCGCGGCTCCCAGCTCTTCCTCTTTCCCTTCTCTGTTTCCAGGACGCGGACGTTGTCAAGGTGATCGCGGGATCCGGGAGAAAGACGCAGCACCCACTTCCGGCGGCGTGCCCGGCGTGCGTGGGTCAAAGGTCGCGTCTGGCCCCGCCCCTCGCGCGCCGGCGGCCCGGACGCGAGAGCTGTGGAGGCTGCAAGGAGCGTGGGGGAACCGGTGGGTGAGGGCGGGGACGAGCTGGGTGGGGTCTGGGTCGGGTCTACAGCCCCGGGCTCTCGGGGCGATCCGGAGTCCGCAGAGAAAGCATCCGGGGACCCGCGGAGATGGCGGGAGTGTGGTGCTGAGGTGCTTCCCTTTTCCTTGGGAAGCCGGGACGCCCGGCGGCGCACCTGTTCGTCCTCAGTACGTGACCCAGAACTTTACAGGGTTCTCCGGGCGGTCCTAAAGCCGAGCGCTCACTTCCAGTGGCAGCGTGCCGAAGAGTAGGCGAGGGACTCGGGGACAGGTGACAGAGGGGCCGGGAGGGACATGGGCATCTTTTCTGCCCCCTTCCTGCCACAGTCCTGGGTCGTCACGGCCTGGACAAGGTGACCGGATGTCCCCGCGCCCTGCGTGACCCGGAAGGGCGCGCAACTCCTTGGGTACTTTCTTGATCCCTTAACTTTGAGCCGGACCTGGGACTGAGCCTGGATTGGTATATTCCATCGGGAAACGTACCTGAGCTTCTTCAAGGGATCTGAGCATCAGTTCCGAGTGTTTCACTTTCTTTTGCTCCAACTTTTAGCTCTTGTTTCATTCGTAACGCATGTTTAATTTCCAGTCCCGGCAAGTGAGTAACCATGGTGCTCAATAGTTTGGATAAAATGATTGAACTCCAGAAGAACACTGTCAACATCAGGAACATCTGTGTCTTGGCTCACGTTGACCATGGTAAGAATATTTTTAAAATGGCTTGTTCTCATTAATAAAGGAGGCTTGTCTCTACATGTTTCAGTGGATGACGCTGTAAGCATTTGAGAGTGATGCTTGCTAAGAAGCAAGTCATTTCTTTTAAAACATTTTTGTGATGTCAGAAGTATGCTGTAAATGCACACATGTGCAGTAAATGCAGTTAACTAGTGATTAGTGTTCTGTGTAGGCTGTTACATGGTTTTTAAGTGGAATGAAGCAGAGCAAATTGAGATAGATATGTGAGAGAAAAGACTAGAGGTGAGGAGGACTAGAGAATTGGAAAGTTAAGGATGGGTTAAGAAAAAGCTTCACAGTATAATTGATATCACATAGGTACTCGCAAGTGGCAGTGTATTTGCAGGAGAAGGAGGTACATGTGGCTGAAGCAGTAAGGCCAGGGATAGCAGTCAGGCCATGGTGCATGTGTTTTCAAACAGATACTGCTGTAACACCCTATCACTGCGTCATGCTAAGCTTGCTTTTTGTTTCAAACTCCTTCTGAGTTCTGGTAGCCACAGCAAAGTGGAATGGGCATGCAAAAGAAAACTTACCTTGAGGGGAGGGAGCAGTAGGGAGAGGTGAAGAGGCAGGTTTGTCCTCCACTGGACAGTAGGATAAGGGTAAATGCTCCAGCTGACAACCTCAATTCACAACTCCATTTTCAAATTACTTTGTCTTTTTGAGCTTAAGTATATATACAGCATGAGTAAAGTAGGATGAAAATTATACCTAACAGCAGCAGTGGTGGATCTGTGGCACATATGCGACAGCAGGCTGTTTGTTATCATTGTATACTCTAAGAGGTTTGCCATCACTGCCTTATAGGATATGAAGATTAAATGTAATGATAATGAGAATCCCTTGGCCGGAAGGTAAATAATTCATAATTTTCACTTCTATTAGGTTGTAGGGAGCCATTCAGAGAGAAAATAAAGTGCGTGTGATATAATGAAACAGATTAGACCTATAAAGGTGCTTAAGATGGATTAAAAGGTGCGAAGTAGTTAGGTGGCTCTTGTCATTGATACAAGAGCTGGAGTCTGACAGCTGAGCAAAAATGGGTCACTTTATAGGTGAGGTTAACTAAGAATGAGTTTTATACCAATCCAGTGACTGAACTGTTCTCTATGAACTTTTATAATTAATTATGCTACACACATTTTGATGGTATGAAATAAGATTTTCTCTTTGCTTTGTGAATTAACGTGTTTATGATGAGGCCTATATGCTAACTGTTCATCAGACGGCTTGTACCACCTAATGGGACTGTCACATGCCACCGGATAGTCCAGTGGTTCAAGCCAGCAGGAAGTTGTTAAATTATGGGGAAAGTCACTGCTGTGTATATGTACATTACAGATTACTTTAAATTTACTTGTTAAAATTAAGTCAAACTGGTACTGCCATACAAAAACTATGATTCATTGTATTTAATCAATAGCTATTGAAAGGCTACTGTTATAGTTTGTGTCTAGATGTCTCTGCAAAAAAGCCTCATGCAGTCATAGGTGGGACTTGTCACAGGTGGCTGAATCTAGAGTATGTGATACTGGGATTGATTCATAGTGCAATGCTAAGATTAGGGTATGAGCGCTACCCACCCTAAGGGCATATAGCTTGGATAAGATGTAAGGGACAAAAAGAGGTTTGTCCCATGCCACTTGTTTGTTTTTGCTGTCTTCTGCCTGCCATGAATTGTTTCTCGTCTGTGATACCCCTCTCCCATGCTACCTTGTCATGGAGCCAGTCAACAGTGAACTGCAACCTCAATAAACTGTGAGCTAAATAAAGCTATCCTCCTTGAACTTCGGGTGTTTTATCTCAACAAGGAGAAAAGTAACTAAAACAGAAGTTGGTACTGAAGAAGTGAGGTCCTTGCTGTGACTATACCTGACCATGTGACTATACCTGGGAATGGCTTGTGAGAGGAATTTGGAAAGTTCAGAGATGCTTGCTGCAAAAGCAGCCCTGGAATGCCTTAAGTTGTACTTGATGGGGGATTCTGGTCAAAACTCAGAAGACCAGAATGCTGATAGAAAGTCTGCTGGTAAAGACCATGCTCCAGAGGTTTCTGCTGGGAAGAGGGACTGCACTGGCTGTTGGACTCCAGATGGTGTATGTTATGCCTTGGCAAGAAGTTTGTCTGGATTTGCTCACATCCAGAGACTGCCTAAGACTGAGATTAAGGGCACCAGACTAATTAATATAGCAGAAGCAATTTGAAGGCAGTCTTATGTTGAGGCCATGGCATGACCACTGTTGGGGGCTTTTAGCAAGATTTATGTTGAGAATCAAGTGCAAAGAGCCCAGAAGAATGACTTAAAACATTTTCAGTTTGGGCAGAAAGGAAGCTTCATTTAGCAATGCTGTAGACTGCAAAGGTAGAGAGAGAACGTGGTTGCAGAGAAGGAACAAGACAATGGAAAAGACGGCCCAAGGACATCACAAAAAACAGCTGAATTCCAGCCTTTGTAGCCTCAAATTGCAAATGTGAAAAAATTTGCTTTGTGAAGAGAGCTCTAGAGCAACATGTTCCGGAATGGCAGCAGCCTAGAGAATTTGTTACTCAGGATTGGATTCAGATTGCTCAGTGATCCAGGCACTGAACCCCTGTACCCAAGAGAGAGGGAAGCCTGGCTACTGCTCCAGCTAGTAGCAGACCTTGGCTTCATCCATGTGGTGCTGATTTTAGGTGCATACAGAATGCAAGAGTTGTGGGATCAAGAAGGCTCCCATACAGATTTCAGAAGGCCTGGGAGGCTAGGCAGTGTGCCCCTGAGAAGGCATTGTGTGAAGCTGTGAGTATGAAGCTGAAGGTGCAGTGGAGACCCCAAAAGTTTGAAGAAGGCAGGAATGTGGATCATTTGAGGAAAATGGCAAGGAGGGAGAAGAGCAGGCCCAAGAGAGAAGCCATGGGCACTACAACCACCAGAAATGTTTGGATGGAGCCACCCAAGGCCTTGGGAGTTCACATCTTGCCACAAATTGCCTCAGATACCGGACGTGGAACTATAGAACTTAATGTTTGCCCTGCTGGATTTTGGACTTGCTTTGGTCCCATTCCTGTGATCCTTGTATTTGTACCTTTCTTGTGCTATTGTATGTTGGAAGTGTTTAATTTTCTTTGTACAGGGCCTCAGAGCTAAGATTTTGCCTTGAATCTCAGAGGAGACTTTGTACTTGGACTTGTTGGCAGTGTTGAAACTGTTAGGACTTTGGCAACTCTTAGAGATGAGCTGAATGCCTTTTGCATAAAGTGATGTGCATGAGTCTTTGGGGGGCTAGGGATAGAATATTATGGCTGTGTCTAGATGTTACCTCAAAGCCTCATGCAGTCATAGGTGGGGCTTTTCAGAGGTGCTGGTTCTGGAGTGTGTGACACTGGGATTGATTCATGGTGCAATACTGGGATTAAGCGCACTAGAATTAAGAGTATGAGTGCTACCCACTCTAAGTATAGTAGTTTTGATAAGATGTCAGGGACAGAAAAAGGCTTGTTGCTTGTCACTTTTTTTGCTATCTTCTGCCTGCTATGAACTATTTCTCCTCTGCAGTGCCCCTCTTCCATGCCACTGTGCCTTTGAGCTAGCCAACTATCAACTGAAACCTCTACAAACTATGAGCTAAATAAACCTTTCCTTCAACTTTGGTTGTCACGTATTTTGTCTTGGCATTGAGAAAAGTAACTAAGAGCATTGTTCTGATTCTAGAGATATGGTCATGAATAGGGTAATGTCTACCTTTTTGTTTCTGTGGTGAGTATATTTTTCTATAATAGAATGAAGTCTATTTTATTGGGTAACAGGAAAGTGTTGCTCTAGGATTACATGCTAACATGATATTCACATGGCAAACATATAACACATTATTAAAGATCTCCAATTCTCCCACTGATTGATCTCTGGTTTAAACGATTACACAGATTAACTTTGCTACACATTGCTTTGCTAAAGTTCCTAGAGTGCAGTAAGTACTTAAAGAAAAATCCCTCCTTTTGTTAGAGCAGTC